ATTAGAAACCATTAATTGCTATGGAGCCCTAAACAGAAAAAGGTGGCTCTAACTGCCTTAATAAGATATCCAAAATAGATTAAGAGGAAAAGGAGGGTTGTGTAACAAAGTGTAACACATGCTGCTATTTGTCTAAGGGGAAAGAATTAGATATCTGCTAACTCTGTCTTACGTCCCACACTTCAGAGAACGTCTTACCATTCCTCAGTATACCCTGCTGGCACTGCGCTTTCTTTGGTTTTTTTTCCTTTGTTGATTTTTTTGAGAGAGAGAGGAAAGGAGAGGGAGAGATAGAAACATTGATGAGAGAGAACACCGAGTGGCCACCTCCTGCATGCCCCCAACTGGGGGTGGGGCCCACAACCTGGGCACGTGCCCTGACCAGAATTGAACCGGCGACCTCTTGGTGCATGGGTTGACGCTCAGCCACTGAGCCACACCAGCCGGTCTTCTGTGCTTTCTTAAATGCTGTTCCTGTTGCCTCTCCTCCAAACTTTGCCTTCCTGCTTGCCCTTCCAGAGATATTTCATGCATATACACATTTCCATGTACTAAAAACACAAACAGCATACTGTGCATACTGTTCTACACTTACTTTTTTTAGTTAATACATACTTGCACATAAGAATGGTCTCATTCTATTTTATAAATGTATACTATTCCATTGAATGAATAAATCATAATTTATTTAATCAGTCCCCTACTGATGGACATTTCCATTGTTTCCTTCTTTTGCCATTAAAAACAATGCTATAATAAATATTCTTGTGCAAATATTATTTCATATTATGTCTATGGGTTTATATACCTGTGGACTAAATTCTTAGAAACAGTGGTAATTTGTGGGGAGGATGACAGGGTGGATGGGTGCAGGACTGGGACACTTTTCATTGTATCCTCTTTTGTGTCTCTTGGAATTTTGTACCATATGTATTACTTATTCCAAAAAATAAAATATTTTTAAATACAGCTGCTGGCCATAGACTATTTAAATGTTCCTTCTCTTTATATATTTACCTGACTATATTTTACAATTAAAGCCAGATTATAATTACTTCAAAACTTTTTTTGGTACATGCCCCTAGCAGGAACCGAACCCAGGACTCTCTGGTCCATAGGCCAACACTCTTAACTGCTGAGCCAAACCGGCCAGGGCTCAAATCTTCTTAAAGCAAAGTTCCCTTAAGCAGTCCTGTGGCATTTCTGTGTAGAAATGGTAGACAGGGATTTTAAAAAGCAATCATAAATGCCAATCCTAGATACCTGGAAAAGTTTCCTGCTTGAGACAAACACACAAAACCATAATGTTGCAGTGGACGGTGTTAGGCCCTGCCCACTGCAAGCTGTGTGATATCAGCTTGGAGCCAGAATTTAAGGAGAGGAGCTACATCGTGACCAGCAGTGCTGTTCGTCTCTCTAAAAAGGATGTTCCTGCCAAATGTCAACCCTCCACTAGAATGCTTTATAACAAAAGGCCAAAAGAATTGAACTCATTCTGAGAAGAAGGAAAAAAAAAAAAAAAGAGTCTCTTCTTGGACACTTAGTAGTCCTTTCTAATCTCTTACTTCCGAACCTATTCCCTCCTAATCATGAAAGAAAGGAAGGGTATGTGGGACACCTCGTATTCATACCACTAGTCACTATCAAACACATAACTAAAGTGTCATACCACAAGGTAAGTTCTGGATGTTGATCAAGAAGCCCCTCTTTGGAGCCAATAACATAAAGCTATTCACAACATAAAGCACATCCAGGGCTCCCCTGCCTTTGGTCCCTACACTATTACGTTTTGCTAAAGCAAAGGTAGGGCATGCTACCCCAGGCACTCACTAGCTTGCATATACAGTTAAATTAAATCAATTCTGCAACAGGGCCTTGATAACCTCCCCTTGAAAGTAAAGGGAGGCCAAAAAAAAAAAAAAAACTTCCATCTGATATTGAGAGTATTAAGTTTTCCTAAATGCAAAATTTGGGAAACTATCTGCTGACTTCTGTGGCCTGCTGGGAAGAAGGCATCTGGTCAGAAAGTGCCTGCAAAAGATCCTAACCCTATTTTACATTACTTACTGTTTATTCTGAACTGCCCATTATCACCTTCCTGCTACCATTTCCCCTGTGTTCTTAAAATTCTGTACCACCTCCAAGGGAGACTTCTTGTTACTTCAGGTTCCCCCATAAAGCTTTGTGTGAAATAAGGTGGTTTCTCCTAAATCCATCCTTTCTAAGCACAAAATTCCATTTTTTCGATTAACAGTAGGTACCTACAATATAGGCATTCTAAGGGACTCTGTTCCTGCCTAATAGACCACTACAATTCAGTGGTTTATTTAGCTACTAAAACTATTTATGCTTATGCTCACTATGAGTTTTAAAACCACCAAATCAATAAATAACCCACAAATATTCTTCCAGAATATTTTTAACACTTAAAATGTAGCAAAATCTCTTTTTAAGGAGGATAAAAGGACTTAGACTAAGCTGAAAATCTTATTAAGGCCCAGGTACTGGCAGCAATTTTCAATGTCTTAGTAAAGTTACACAGGGACGCTTCCATGACATACTGGTTTCTGCCTCATCCCATGAAAATCTGCTAAGAAATGTACTCAGGTTTCTCAGTGTCCCCTTCTTTCCTCTTTGTATACATTGTCTACACATGATAGGTTTGTTTTCTCTAAGTCCTAGATTTTCCCATGTTAAAAATGTAAGCATCTAGCCCTGGCCAGTTTGGCTCAGTAGTTAGAGCGTCAGCCAGCAGACCAGAATCCCAAGTTCGATTCTAGACAAGGGCACATACCTCGGTTGCGGTTTATCCCCGGCCCTGGTTGGGGTCATGTGGGAGGCAATGAGTTGATGTGTCTCTCTCACATTGATGTTTCTCTCTTTCTCTCTCTCTCACTCTGTCTGAAGATACATGTAAAAATATCCTCAGGTGACAATTTTTAAAAATGAGAGAAAAAAATGTAAGCATCTAGCTCCACTGGTGTGGCTCAGTCGTTGAGTGTCAGTCAACTCATCTACCAAGAGGTCACCAGCTCAAGACCTGGTCAGGGCATGTGTCCAGGGTTGTGGGCCAAATCCCCAGTGGGGGGCATGCAAGGGGCAGCCAGTTGATGTTCTCTCTCATTGATGTTTCTCTCTCTCTTCCTTTCTTCTCTCTCTAAAATCAATTTAAAAAAAAATTTTTTTTAAGGGTAAATGGTTTAAAAAAAAAAAATGTAAGTATCTAGCCCTGGCCAGTTTGGCTCAGCAGTTAGAGAATCGGCCAGTGGACCATTGAGTCTTGGGTTCGATTCCAGTCAAGGGCATGTACCTTGGTTGTGGTTCATCCTTGGGCCTGGTTGGGATCTTGCAAGAGGCAACCAATAGTGTATCTCTCTCACATCAATGTTTCTCTCTTTTTCCCTCCCACTCTATCTAAATAGAAAAATAACCTTAGGTGAGGATTAAAAAAAAAAGTAAGCATCTAAATTTCTATCTCAGATACTTCTCTCTGAACTCTGTATTTCCATTTTTTTAATGGTATTCTCTTATTGAATGACCTTAACTCTAATCCAGGCCAGAAATGTTCCAATCCAGTCCACAAATGCAAGTTTTTGCTGGAACAAGGGTGTAACCAATAATTCTCCCAGAATCGACCTGGGTGTGGTTTCCCCACTATTAGCACTTATAAATCATTCATCATATTGGTGGTATTTCTGTCTTTTTTTAGTTGTCTGTCCATGCAGTTCTGGCTCCCCCAGCAGTTACACACACACCGCAATTTCTAGCTCTGTGGCCCATTTAAATTCCATACCCAAACAAATACTTTAAATTTTTTTTTAATCCTCACCGGAGGATATGTTTTATTGACTTTGAGAGAGGAAGTGGGGGAAAGATAAACACTGATGTGAGAAACGGATCAGTTGCCTCCCATATGTGCCTCAACCAGGGATCGAATCCGAAACCCAGGTATGTGCCCTGACCAGGAACTGAACCTGCAACATTTTGGTGTATGGGACGACGCTCCAACCAACTGAGGCTTCTACCCAGGGCCCAAACAAGTACTTTGAAATTCATTGGAATTTGTGGCTTAAAATGCTTTTTCTTCAGTGATCCTAAAGTGAAGCTGTCAGGTTTAACATAAATATACAGGATGCAGAGTTAAATTTGAATTTCAGATAAACAACAAATAATTTTTAGTATAAGTATGTCTCATGCACTATTTGGGACACACTTATACTAAAAATTATTTATTGTTCATCTGAAATTCGAATTTAACTGGGCTTCCTGCATTTTATCTGGTAATCCAACCTAAAAGAAAATCCCTAAGTATCTAATATCTATTCCAACAAAGGGACCAGCTCCTGCTATGACATTTTACACCATAAGGTAAAATATCCTTAAAAGATTGTCACTAAATGATCACAGAAACTTGAAATGTCTGTGGGAATATGGAAGCTATTTTTCTTCTCTTTCTTTTTATTTTTTTAAATATGTTTTCATTGATTTTTTTAGAGAGAGAGAGAGAAAGGGAAAGAGACAGAAACATCAATGTGAGAGAGAAACATCGATTGGCCACCTCCTACACACCCCCTACTGGGGATCAAGCCAGCAACCTGGGCATGTGCCCTGACCGGGAATCAAACCAGGACCTCTCAGTTCATGGGATGACGCTCAATCCACTGAGCCACAGCAGCTGGCTGAAGGCTATTTTTCAAGTGATTAAGGTATCCATGGGAGTCAGGTCTGTCTTCTGAGTGATGGGCTTTTGGTTTTGTAAATCTAAATCCTGAGTGTGAGAAGAAAATGTATCTGCCCTAACAAATGAGAAGTGGAGCATGAGCTGCATAGAAAATAAGGATAAGTCAACTAGCACATTCAGGAAGGGTGAGATGAAGATGAGAACATTTCATTTGCCTTTCTCATCCTCTCTGGCCTAGTAACAAGTATTCAAGCAATCTACTCTGTGACTCTAATACAAAACACAAGTAAATAAGAATTTGCTTTTAAAATGAAGCTTTTATATATAGCTATACATATATGTATATGCAGCTCTGAAGGCCAGAGAAGTAACTCAAATTTTGGAACCTTGGAGGCTTTACAGATTACACTGGGTTTCAATCAGTTATTAAACCTTAGGTAACAGGATCCAGAGCCTTGGCCTTAGAATGGTACAGAAAAAATTAAGTCAAGAGTAAAACCTTCACATTCTGAAAATAACAGTGGCAAAAAACACAACACTCCTGGATTGTGGGAAATGAAACTGAGGGAGGGTCATGACTGGAAAGAAACCACTAAAATTCTACTCATCCCATGTTCCTCAGACTGGTACCAACGATAGTAATCTCTGGGACACCTATCATCCAATCAAAGTTTGACAGAGAAGGATGACCCACAGGAGCAGCCTTTCTCTGCTTGAGGATTGTTCAACACTTGAAATGAGCTTCGGATCAGTTCTTGGCTGAAGTCCACCTGGGCCCCTTTCACGAAGGCCAAGCTATCAGAGTCAACCACCACTCTTGCCCCACCCTGTTCAAATATCCTGAAAAAAAAAAAAAAACACGAGAAAAGCATTAACGAATATCATAAACACCAAAAACATGACACCCTCTGAGCCCTGATGTGAGAGGTGCACATCCTCAGTTTTCTGGAACAGAGGAAGCATTCCTTATTACCTCCAAAGGGTGCTGGTTTTGAGGCAAAAAAGGATTCATGGAATGAATACTGGGAAATATTTAGAGATTTAGGCTTGGAATCTAATCCATCCTAACTCTATCATCTACCCTATAGACCCAGGAAGGCCAATCTTCCTCCTATAACTTAGTTATTTTGAATCAAGACAACAAATCTTCACTGTATCCCCACTGTGTGAGAAGAGTGATGTTAGGCATCCTTATTTAGCAAATCTTTTCAATTTGGAATAAAAGTGCACCTTAAACTGGACACACTTTCATCCCTCCCGCACATTCCCTGAAGATCCGCCCCTTCCTCCTTGCCTGTCGTCCGGGTTGATAACTGTATCCAGTGAAAATCTGTATTGGAATCCGGAGCATCCGCCTCCCTCCACCTCCAGCCTGAGGAATTCTGACCCCTGGGTGATTTCCAGAAGCCTCTGAAACGCAGGAAGAGGGGATCAGGAACGGCGGGCAAGGGGAGGTAGAAGGGTGGGCCAAGGGGAGGGCCCTAGTCCGTCCACCGCCGCCCCTCTTACCTGGACGCAGCTGTCGGTGAGGTGAACCTGCCCTTCGCAAGCCTCGGGGCTAGAGGACGACGCTTCCCGATGCAACTGAGGTCGAGCAGAAGCCGCAAGAAACCTGCCACGCGCAAGGCAGGACGCTGAGCCGCGAACAGAAGGGCACCTGGCGACCCTTACCTGGACAGTCTCACGCCAGACCTAACGACTCCCACTTGCACCGCCTTATGCCCAACCTGACGACCTCCAACTGGACAGCCTCATGCCACACTCTCACTTCCCCGTGGACCTTGGTTTCCGTTTAGTCCTGGAAGGCGCCAAACCTTACACACTTCCCAAGTGCCCTTCTAAGCTTGGTACCTGCTCCCCCACCAGGGGGTGACCGCTCTCACCGCCGCTGCCGTTAGGAATAAGCTCCGGGTGGCCGCCATCTTCCTCCACAAACCCACCCCTCCCGTCGCCCCAATCCCCTTCTCCGCTTGGGCCTCGAGAGGCGGGACCCACAGAGGTCCCGCCTCCGAGTACGCCTATTGGGTGGCGCGAGAGGCGGGGGGATTTTATTGGCTAGGAATGCTCCCCTGTGGAAGCGAGAACACACCAACAAAGCCTAGAACTGGAGAGAGAGGCGGGGCGGAGATGTATCCTATCCCGCGGGGCCGAGCAGCGGTCAGGGTGGGCGGAGACCGACCCGAGCTTGGCTGCCTGGAGCCGGGGGCAGGACGCGGGTGGGCCACGGCCTTATTTGCTAGTTCCCGGTCTCCTGACCGAGCTCCTCCCCGAGTCCGCCCCGGCAGTTTTATCTTGTGACTACGGCGGCCGCTTCTTCCTTCCTCGCGCCTGGAAGTTCCTTAGCAGCAATGTTACCCGCCGCGCTCATGCTCCTGGCGCTCAGCGCCTCCGCCCTCGCACAGGAGGTGCATTTCAAGGACTGCGGTGAGTCCAGGACCAGCCTGCGGTCCCCGCACTCCCGGCAGCAGCCTCCGCCAGAACCTCGCGCTGAGACTCCACCTGGGTTGGGCGGGTCCCGTAGGCGGCCAAGCTCAGCCTTGGACCCCTCGTGGAGTGGGTTCGGGTAGGGGAGAAGAGGCCGACCTCGAGGAAACTCGACTACTCACAACTTTGTCTCTGCCCCTGGAGCGCGTGTTTGTGGTTCCTGGACATTCCTGGAGATGGATGGACCTTTTGCTGGAGTTTCCTAAATTTTGTAGGGCAGACAGCCGAGGGTCCGCAGGCAAGGCGGCGGGGGTGTGGGGGTGTGGGGCGCAGAACTTTTAGATTTCCTTTTCCTTTGTGTCCTGGATGACCTCTCCCTACCCACTCTGCTTTTCTTTTCCACTTACTTTTTGCTGACAAATCAAAAGCCAGTTCTCCTTTTCATGATTCCGTTAGCGTTTCCTTTGGTCTATGGAATTTTGTGATTCCTTCTGTCTATAAAACTTGTGTCTCTGGTCGCAGCTTGTGACACGTAACTCTTCTTGCCGCTGTGGTTGGAATCTGTTGGGAAATACAAGGGGATGGGTGTAGAAATCGTGAGTTCGTTCAGTCAAGTCTATAGAATGAGTTGTACCAGCCGAACTTTTCTGAGATGAAGAGGTATAATGATAAATAAAGGAGGCATGCAACTGACTTTATAAAAGCTGTGTGCTGGAAGGAAACTTGGAGATCATATATATAGTCAGTCATTGAATTCCAGAGGTGTTAGGTAACTTACCCAAAATCACACAGCAGAATGGGAGCTAGCGTAAGTTTGCTCCTTTATATCCAGTTCCCAAGTAATAGTAACTGCTCAATAAATATTTGTTGAAAAAGTAAATGAGAAAATACTCTTTCTACTATGTCATCAAAATTCATGTTGAAGCAAAAGCCAAATTGGGGGCTAGACGACAGCTTGATTAAGGAATAAAGACTTGCCCTGGCCGGTTTGGCTCAGCGGTTAGAGCGTCGGCCTGCGGTCCTGAGAGACGGGTTCTGTTCCCGCTAAGGGCGCGTACCTCGGTTGCAGTTTGTCCCCCGCCCTGGTCAGTTGTGTGGGTGGCAGCCACTCGATGTGTTCCTTTCACATCGATGTTTCTCTCTCTCTGTTCCTCTCTCTCCCTCCCACTCTACCTGAACAAAAAATGGAAAAAATGTCCTCGGGTGAGGATAAAAAAAAAAAGGAATAAACACTGCTTGCCTATTAATACTTAATAGATGCTGTTCCACTAAATGAAAGAAGCTATTATCACCTCAGGTTATTGCCTTTCCCTCCATTAATTTTAGTGGCCAACATTTGTTTTTTTAATTTTTTTTTTATTTTTTATCCTCATCCGAGGACATTTTTCCATTTTTTATTCAGATAGAGTGGGAGGGAGAGAGAGAGAGAAACATCGATGTGAAAGGGACACATCGAGTGGCTGCTACCCGCACGACCCAAGCAGAGCCGGGGACAAACTGCAACCCAAGTACATGCCCTTAGCGGGAACCGAACCCAGGTCTTTTGGGACCACAGACCGACGCTCTAACCGCTGAGCCAAACCGGCCAGGGCAGTGGCCAACATTTGGATGATGACACTGTATTAACTCATTAAACTCTCATAATCTGTTTTACAGATGAGGAAACAGGCACATAGAGTACCTTGCTGAGGTTCTCACAACTTGTAAGCAGTAGGAAACTAGTGTGTGTTTTTGAGCCACTTTGGGTTTCAGTGGTAACACTAAAAAAAAAAAAAAAAACCACTAAGAAAACTAAATCCAAACACTGTTCTACTCATTTGAAAAAAGTAGGTATACACCCTGGCCGGTTTGGCTCAGCGGTTAGAGCGTGGGCCTGTGGTCTGGAGAGACCCAGGTTCGGTTTCCGCTAAGGGCACGTACCTCAGTTGCAGTTTGTCCCCGGCCCTGGTTGGGTCCTGTGGGTGGCGACCACTCGATGTGTCCCTTTCACGTCGATGTTTCTCTCTCTCTCTCTCCCTCCCTCCCACTCTATCTGAACAAAATATCAAAAGGTGTCCTCGGGTGAGGATAAAAATTAATTAATTAATTGATTAATTAAATAAAATTTTAAAAATCTTCAACTTGAAACTAATCTCTTAAAAAAGAAAAAAAGTAGGTGTACACCTATGGCAAGATCTTCTTAAGGGAAGGAGGGTTTTAGTTACAGATTTTCAATTACTTTTGAATTGGGAAATGCAATGTAAAAAATTCAGTGCCCACATCAAAAGTTTTTTGAGTTCCGCTGTACGCCCCCCTTTTCCTGGAGTGGCATTTCCTCAATGAGAAATAGGGCCAAGCAAGCTAGTTTTGCAATTTTCGCAGGTTAGTGTTGAGGAGTTTGTTCTATTGACATTGGAAGTCCAAGAGCCTCTTGTCAGCTTAAGAACTGGGTGAAGGAGCTACAAGGACCCTTTACTCAGGTCCTTCTAGATCATGTGGCCCAGTCTTGAAAGAAGATGGCAGAAGCTAGATGTGGAAAGCCTTAGTATAAGGCTTAGTATAAGCACTGATTTTCAATACGATGTTCATTAAAGTTTTGGAGTTTTTTGTTTTGTTTTGTTCCCCCGTCCATGGAAGATATGACAGAATAGCACAGTGCTTAGAGAAGAGAATTGTTGAATGTTGAGTTTGAGAACTTTGCCATGTTGGAGAAGCAAGCTGGGGATAAGGGAGTGCAAGGTATTTACAGACCTAGCTGCAGCAGTGTTGGTCAGTAGGATGAAACTTCCACCCAAGAGCAGATACAGGCTGAGAAAGCAGAGGGCATCCACCTGAGCTTTTTATCCTACAGGTGACACTAACCTGGTAACCACTAAGCAGATAATGTGCTCTCAACCATCAGTTTGCTTTCTGTCTTCATGTGTTCTACTTTGAGACAGAGTCCATTCTGTCAGCTGGATCCATAATTTCTACCCACAAAGTATATTTGAGATGAGAGGTCCACCTTGTGTGTCAAAAGGGAACATGCTAGTCCGGCGGGTGTGGCTCAGTGGTTGAGTGTCCACCCATGTACTGGGAGGTCGCCGGTTCAATTCCTGGTCAGGACACGTGCCCAGGTTATGGTCCCGATCCCCAGTGGGGGGCATGCAGGAGGCGGCCAGTCAGTGTTCTCTCATTGATGTTTCTGTCTCTCTTTCCCTCTCATTTCCTCTCTCTGTAAAATCAATAAAGGAAAAAATTTATTTATTTATTTATGTTTTAAATCCTCACCCGAGGATATTTTTACATTTATCTTCAGGCAGAATGGGAGAGAGAAACATCAATGTGAGAGAGACACATTGACTGGTTGCCACCCACAGGATCCAACTGGAGCCGGAGACAAACCGCAACCGCAGTATGTGCCCTTGGCCAGAATCAAACCCAGAACTCTTTGGTCTGCAGGTCAACACTCTAACCACTGGCCCAAACTGGCCAAGGCAAAAAAAAAAAAATTTTTTTAAGGGAACATGCTCACCCACCCAGGAGCAACTATTCTAGATTAAATTTATAGACTGAATTCTGATATGATGACAATAATAGTAAACCTTTATACAGTAGCCTCCCTTTATCCATGGGGAATGCGTTTTAAGACCCCCAATGGATTCCTGAAACTGGATAGTACCGAATCCTATACAGGGTGGGGCAAACATAGGTTTACAGATGTTCATATGGAAAATAATACAATAATTAATAAATAATAACACATGAATAAACTTTTGTGTATTCACAACTGTGAACCTCCATTTGCCCCACCCTGTATATACTGTACATACATACCTTTTCACATGATGCACATTACGGCTTCTCTTTGGCATTTCTGAATTGCCGGCATCGCTACTCTTGTTCTTTGGAGCCATTATTAAGTAATGTAAGGGTGACTTGAACACAAGCACTGTAATACCAGGACAGTCAGCTGCTAAGCGCCTTGCTGGACAGAGGGATGAATCGTGGCCTGGGCAGGATGGAGTGGGATGGTGTGAGATTTCAACACACATTTCGTAATTTAAAACTTAAGAATTGTTTATTTCTGGAATTCTCCATTTACTCTTTTTAGACCACAGTGGATTGTGAGTAACTGAAATCGCAGAAAAAGAAACCATGGCTAAAGGGAGCTACAGTATAGCATTACTATGTTCCAAACACTTATCTCAAGAGTTACATTTGTGTTAGCTCACCTACTCTATGAGGTAGTCACTATTATTATCCCCAAAGAAGTTAAGCATCTTGCCTTGAGGTTACACAGTAAGTAATGGAGCCACTACAGAGATTAGTAAGATTTCAGACCCAGGCTTCAGGTCCCAGAGTCTTCCTCTCAACAGTGACGGCTGAATTGCAGAGCTTATGCTTACCCCGTTGCAGGCAGTGTTGACCAGCAGTTCTCTTGAAGTCTCTCCCATTCAGCTGTCCAGTGTCAGGGGCCTGGGTCATATAACAGGATTTTTAAAGATTTGTACTTAACCTTTTCTGATCAAACATTTATTGTGAACAAGCAGCATTTTTTCCTTTTTAAGACTGAAAAAAATTCTTTTAAAATAAAGGACACACACCTTGCTTCAAAGATACTTATTTTGAAGAACACATTTCCAAAGTGGAGTGTACCCATCTGTATATTGCAGATGAGTGCTTAAAGTTGTTCTCATTGGTGGGGGTATACAAAGCTTGGAGACCACTAATTTGGAGACCAGTACAGAATTGAAAGATGGTGGGGGAGGGCAGTTTGAAAGTAGCTAGTCTCAAGATTCCAAAAGGAAACAGTAGTTCTGTGACTTGAGCCATCACTTGTATACGTACATGCTTTCAAATCATGTGCGGGGCCCTGGCCAGTTTGGCTCAGTGGTCAGAGCGTCGGCCTGTAGTCCCAAGAGACCCGGGTTCAGTTCCCGCTAAGGGCGCGTACCTCAGTTGCAGTTTGTCCCCGGCCCTGGTTGGGTCGTGCAGATGGCAGCCACCCGATGTGTCCCTTTCATGTCGATGTTTCTCTCTCTCTTTCTCTCTTTCCCTTCCACTCTATCAGAACAAAAAAATGGGAAAATGTCCTCCCGTGAGGATAAAAAATAAAATCCTGTGCGGGGATGGAATGGGGGGATGATTTTTCACTGGTATAACCCTCCCAGGTTATATAGTAGGGAAGTGGCTATGTATACTTAATAATTTCCTTAATTCCCCTTTACCCATCAAATATCAACAGTTTCTTGGAGATCAGTGATGGTAGAGGAGAAAGAGCTTACACTAATTGGGAAAACAGCATCTTCCCATTAGGTAGGATCAAACTAGGAGGTTTTATTTATTTTTTCTCCTATTTCAACTCATTTTTCTTCTTTTGCAGGTACTTCATTTGGAGCTTTAAAGAGTGTGAAAGTGACCCCATGCATTGTTCAGCCCTGCCATCTGCAGAAAGGACAGTGTTACAGTGTCAATGTCACCTTCACCAGCAGTGAGTAAAAGTGGCTCTTACCTTCAAGAGGCATAACATCAGTCTCAAGTATTGGCACGAGTATCAGGATGTGGGAGAGGGGAATTACCGTCAAAAATTCTATGACCTCCCTTTCTACCTGAGTAAAGTTGGGATTCACTATACCCTTAGACACCCTTTCCTTACAGGGTTCTCATATGCCTATTTCCTAGAGTCTGTACTATCTTTAGGCAAAGAGAGAGATTTCCATGTGTTTGCAGGTGAGAGAAGATAGCTTGGCCTCTCTATGTCCTATTTTTGACGATATCGCAGTAGGTTATTATGAGAATGTTAGCTCTGTTTAGGTACAGACTGCAGAATATTAGTACAGACCCCAAATCTGTAGACTTTGGAACTCCTCCAAAATGTTATTTTAAGCAATATACATTTCTAGCTATTAAGTCTGTGTTCTGCCTCAAAATACAAGAGCAATTAATACTCAGCCTTGTAAGGTTTAGGGAACTCACTGAGGACCTCAGAAGCAATCAAGAAATCTGAGAACTTTCTTCAACTTGAAGAAATATTATTGGAACCTGTTGCTTTCTGTTACCACATTTATCATCTTCAGATTCCCAGGAATCTAGACAAATGCAAATCTTTATTTCTAGAAAGGGCATCTACCTTGAATCCTTCTCTCATTTTCTATCCAATGGACTAGACTAGACAGTCTAATAAGAAATCTCAGGGCACATTTTCCCTGTCCACCGAAGACTGGAGAATGCAGCTCCCGGGCTGAGCTAAAAAAGCAGAGCAGAGCAGACTATGGAGGAGCAGAGCAGAGCTGCCTAGCTGGAGAGAGGCCTGACCCCAGGGCTGCTTTGCAGCCTTGCTGTATTACAGTTGAACTGTTTTGCACTGAATAAAGTTTCTTTTTTCATTGCATCCCCCCACCCCTACCCAAAAAAGAAATCTCAAAGTTTCTATCATCTCCTATTCTTAAGCCTAAAGACAGGTCTAAGTACTAGAGTTGTTTTCTATGCCGGGCTCTCTATTAGTCCAGTCAAAAAAAAGTAATCAGCCCTGGCCGGTTTGGCTCTGGTTGGAGCGTCGGCCTGCGGTCCGGAGAGACCCGGGTTCAGTTCCCACTCAGGGCGCGTACCTCGGTTGCAGTTTGTCCCTGGCCCTGGTTGGTCGTGTGGGTGGCAGCCACTCGATGTGTCCCTTACACGTCGATGTTTCTCTCTCTCTCTTTTCCTCTTTCTCCCTCCCACTCTATCTGTACAAAAAATATAAAAATGTCCTCGGGTGAGGATTAAAAAATAAAAAAAGTAATCAGCGCCCTGGCTGGTTTGGTTCAACGGTTAGAGCATCAGCCATCGGATGGAAGGGTCACGGGTTCGATTCTCGATCAAGGGCACATACCTGGGTTGCAGGTTAGGGGTAATGCAAAAGGCAACCAGTCGATGTGTCTCTCTCACATCAATATTTCTCTCCCCTCCCTCCCTTCCACTATGTCTAAAAATCAATGGAAAAATATCCTCAGGTGAGGATCAACAACAACAAAAACTAATCACCAAGCCAGACAGAAAGAAACAGAGCCCATCTCTTCTCGTTTTTTTGGCTAAGATCAAGTGTAGTATCCGTTCTTATCCGTTTACTATCTGAAATGTCCTCTACCCGAGGACAATACATTAAATAAATTTTTTGGAGCAGGGAGATAGAATAGGAGCTTGCTCCATCCACTCCCTGCATTGACCCTTTACTGCAGTACCTCTGGGAACAGTGCAGACATGGGTGCGCGTGTGCAGGCACGTACACACAAAGAAAAGAAGCAGAACCAGTACTTCAGATCTGCAGAATAACCTAACAGCTCATAACTCGTTGCCCTAATTTTATTATATTTATTCCTCTTGCCCATCTTGTTATATGGAGGATAGAGCTTAGCAAGAAATGCACCTCTTTCTAACCTTGCCCAGTTTCCTAAAGGGTTACCCCTTTCTCTACTGTTACAGTCCATGGTATGTCTGTGTAGATTCCTTACTCCTTCTTTACACAATGCCTTCTATTTTATTCTTAACTGCTAATGGAATCCTTTGTGCAGGAGTACTTGAGAATTCAGAGACCATTCTCCTAAAACTCTTTAAGATACACAAAACATTTTTTTTTTATTAATTAATTTCTGTTACAGATGTTTCTCCTTTTTCCCCCACTGATTTTCTCTCCCCCTCCCTCCCTGCCCTGTCCCCAGTTTGTTGTCCATGTCCACTGTTCATGCACACGTGCATATAAGTTCTGTGGTTTATCTCTCCCCCACCACCCCCTCTTCTGGGGATTGTCAGTCTGTACCCCACTCCCATGTCTCTGGGACTACCCCATTCCTCAGACTGTTATGTTCATTATATTCCACAAATAAGTGAGATCATATGAAACTTATCTTTCTCTGTTTGGCTCGTTTCAGTTAGGATGATACTTTCCAGGTCCCTCCATGTAGTCTCAAAGGATAAGAGATCTTTCTTTCTTAACAGCCGCATAGTACTCCATTGTGTATATGTACCACAGCTTTTTTATCCATTCGTCTACTGATGGACACTTGGGCTGTTTCCAGATCTTAGCTATTGTAAATAGTGCTGCTATAAACATGGGGGTACATATATTCTTTCTGATTGGTGTTTCAGGCTTCTTAGGGTATATTCCTAGAAGTGGGATCACTGGGTCAAATGGAAGTTCAATTTTTAATTTTTTGAGGTAGCACCATATTGTTTTCCATAGTGGCTGCACCAGTCTGCATTCCCACCAGCAGTGCACTAGAGTCCCCTTTTCTCCACACCCTCGCCAACACTTTACACAATACATTTTGACAGAAGCTGCTAACTGCCAAAAATCACTTACTTTTTGAATGGGGTTATTTATCCAAGTAGCTCTGATTTTCCAGAGAAACTATGAAAGGCAGTGAAGAGTAAGGTGGGGTTAAGAGCAAAGAAAACAGCCCCTACTGATTCCCTTTATTTATTTATTTAGTCATTTATTTAGCTATTTTTACATAATTCAGTAATTTTTCAAGTTTTGGAGTGAATGCTTTGCAGCATTCACAGAGGTGCAGAGCATAACTACAAAGAGGAGAGGACCCTAGGAAGTAAGAGGTCCGGATGCTTTACGATGTGCTATCATAACAATGCTATTGCTTGAGAATATATCTGACTTTTTTTACTTAGAGTTTGGAAATAGATGGTTTCCTTCACTCTCTGATTCTCTTTTTTTCCCTCTTAGTTTCTGACTCGAAAGGGAGCAAAGCCGTGGTGCATGGCATCGTGATGGGCGTCCCGGTTGCCTTTGCCATCCCTGAGCCTGATGGCTGCAAGAGTGGAGTCAAGTGCCCCATAGAAAAAGACAAGACCTACAACTACGTGGCTAAACTACCAGTACAGAAGTCCTACCCCTCGGTAAGTGACACTGTTGTTGAGGACACTGGAGATATTTTGACTAGATATCTGAGGAGGAGGGAAGGAAGAAAAGATTAGAGTAGGAGTCCTTATTTGCTTTCCATTGAGGGAAGGAGATTGTTACAGTGTTAGGAATCATGAGGTACCAGAGGTATTTTTCAGTGTCCCTTTGTTCTTTGTCTAGACTATAGACTCTATAGCCTAATGATTAGCCATTTTTATATACAGTATTTCACTGAATTCTCATGACCACCTTTGTAGAGGTGGTATTAGCCCTTTCTTACAGATGAAGAAATTTGAGCCTCCAATATTATACAATATGAACAGAGTCCACTCTGCTAAGAAAGATTACAGCCTAGACTTAGAGCTGGGTCTTAGGACTTCAAAACCTGTACAGTGTTAAGCCCTGGCCGGTTTGGCTCAGCGGTTAGAGCGTCGGCCTATGGTCCAGAGAGACCCGGGTTCGGTTCCCGCTAAGGGCACATACCTCAGTTGCAGTTTGTCCCCAGCCCTGGTTGGTTGTGCGGGTGGCAACCACTCCATGTGTCCCTTTCACATCGATGTTTCTCTCTCTCTCTCCCTCTCTCCCTCTCACTCTACCTGAACAAAAAATGGAAAAATGTCCTCAGGTGAGGATAAAAATAAAAATAAAAAAAACCTGTACAGTGTTAAAAGATATCAAATAATTCAAGATTTCAAGTTGTCATAGCATTATCATCAGAAAATCCTGGCTCTCAGTTAATCCATTAACAGGAGAGTAGGAGCTTGTTAGCGCTATAGCAGAGAGGTAGCTTTATTCACTCTTCCTTCTCCCCTCCACCCCCTTCCAACCCCTACCTTTACCTCTGACTCACCTTGCTATACCTACTTTATTTTCTATCAAACATTTATAACATAGAGCCTGCTGGAATGGGCCTGTATTAAAAATATGAATCTTGCCCTGGCCAGTTTGGCTCAGCAGTTAGAGCGTCGGCCTGCAGTCCAGAGAGGCCCGGGTTCGGTTTCCGCTAAGGGCATGTACCTCGGTTGCAGTTTGTCCCCGGCCCTGGTTGGGTCATGCGGGAGGCAGCCACTCGATGTGTCCCTTTCACATCGATGTTTCTCTGTCTCTCTCTCTTCCTCTCCCTCCCACTCTGTCTGAACAAAAAATGGAAAAATGTCCTCAGGAGAGGATAACATATATATATATATATATATATATATATATATATATATATATATATGAATCTTAATAAGAATGGAGGAAGTAAAGGGATTACTTTTTTCCAATCAAATAGAACCCAGGAACAATCTGGACATTTATTTTCTAGAAATGGCAAGTAATTAAAGAACATTCTAAAAAGTCTCTAATGTAGGCAGTCTGTGTTTAAGGGATGTCAGAGACCCTAAAGATCAGGGACAGATTTGTAGATTAATTTAATCACGGGCATTTCAGAGCCTCAGTTCTTACACAGTGTCTAGTTAGGACCTGATACATTATAGGCACTTTATATATGGTAGTTATTAAGTGAATTGATTTCATTTGAAAAACAGCTTAAACCATGTTAATTTAAGCACCATGTTAATTAAACAGTAGTTAATGTGTACTTGTCTTGAAAAACTTACAAAACAAGGTTAGAGAACCTGAGTATCACTGTCATTCAGATGTTGTGTTGTAAAGAAACAGGTGAGTACAAAAGAGAGGTGATAACAAGCTAATGTCCACGTAAGAAAGGACTGGCAAAGTGTCAGTGATTTATTAAGAATTGGAAGGGAGAGTTCAAAGTAGGAGTTTAACAAGTCAAGGCATAAATCTCTAATGAGGTATATAATTTAAAAAATAGTTTAAGCCCGGACTGGTGTGGCTCGGTTGGAGTGTTCCCATACACGAAAAGGTGGAGGCATTGATCCCCAGTCAGAGTGCATGTGGGAGGCAACTGATTGATGTTTCGTTCTCTCTCTCTCTCTCTCTCTCTCTCTCTCTCTCTCTCTCTCTCCCCCTCCCCCCACTCTCCCTCATCCTCTTCCACTCCACTTCCTCTCTGTCTCAAATCAATTTAAATAATGGTTTAAGGAAGTTAACTGAAACTATATGCTACAAGGATTGTTCCTGAAATTATTCGTATGATGGTGAACTTCTTTGGACATCCTTTGTGCTTTGATATTTTCATTTCCAATTAACAAGTAAGTTTCCTTATACCTAACAATCTCTACTCTTCATGGTTACAGTTGGGAAAAGCTGGATTACATTGCCAAGTACAAGAGAAATTGTCTAAGTGTAAAATTATTTTTCATATAAGCCTTTATTTATGGGAAAAAATGCTTTAGGAATCATATTTGGTAAGTTAACTAGGTTAGTATTCTAAGTTAAAGACATAGGCTGTGTCCACATCCCAGGTAGCCTTTCTGGTGGCATGATTTAAGAAGAAAAGCATGAAGAATGAGGCAGTTTGTTAACAATGTACTTTAAGGGTTCATAGTTGAACCAATTCTGGATTGAGGACAGATCCTAGTTTCATTTCTCCCAATTCTTTTTCCCTTTCTCCAGATACAGCTGGTGGTGAAGTGGGAACTTCGGGATGACAACGACCAAGGTCTCTTCTGCTGGGAACTCCCAGTACAGATTGAATAGTGCTATTTGATGCCAGTGTGTCCGTCAGGGGATGAGAGAGCACAAGTGGAGGGAGGGGAGGAGAAGTCAAGTCTAAACTAAACCAGTGCCATAAGATGAAAGGAATTTCTAGACTGCTGTTTCATGCTTTTCAACCTCCAACTGTATCTAAGACCCTGTTTCTGGAGGGCTCAGAACTGCTTCCCTTGTGATATCTTTTGTAAAGGGTTGAAGGAAAGGAGAGAGAAGGACTGTAGAAATTGATTTGTCTTCAGTGTTTTTTGCTGTTGGATAAGGAGGGTCCAGCCAGGCTGCTTAGGGATATTGGATAACTTGCCGGAGGGTTATTGACCCTTGTAGTGGGGACAGATTCCAAACCTCATTCCTCTAGCTGGGATATTACATCTCCAAGTGCCTCGTTGAGTTCACTGCATCTGGCCAGCAAGCCTGCTGACTCTTGACAGCACCTCCAGCTCCACTGCCTCAACAGCAATGACTTGCTCTCCAGTGGTATCCAGCGTTTCAGTGCCGGGGAGGTGTCTGTGGCAGAAGTTCAACCCTGGGTGGCTAGTTCTCCGTGGTTATCTCATTTCTCCTTCTCTGTCTTAAGTGGTTTTCATTAAATGCAGCACTTGATGAGCAGATGTTTGGTTGTATTTTTGTTTTTTAACTTTAATTTGTGACTTCTTTGTATACCTGAAAATGTCCCTTTGAATAAATAAAAATTTGGTGGTCTTCTGCATTTGTGCTTAGGCTACCTGCTTGTTCAGAGTATTTCCCCCAGACCCGTGGAAGGCGGATTCCCAGTCCCACCAGAGCGCAGTAAAGACACGACTCTCAGAAACTGCCATTTCTCCCCTTCTTGCCCAGTTAGACCTTGCCTATCTGTTTTATAGGAAATGACCTTGTTTTGCTTTTTATTTTGCATAATCTTTTACCACCAAGTGTGCCTGAAGCAAATATCACCTATTTGAAAAATAACATCAGAAAGGGATGTTGTTGAGGTGGGAACTGAATTGAGGTGGGGGGCAGGGGAGTAAGGTTACAAGTTGGCATAAAGCTTAATAGTCTTTTGGGAACCTTCTGCCATAGGAAAGACTAGAAACTTAAAAATGAAATGTGAATTTGCAAGTAATGGCCAAATTAATTAAATCTTGGAATTTTCTGATTTTGAAGTATAAGTATAATCATGGGGCATATATTTTGCTGCTTGTTTTAATCAATGCACTATTAACTTTTAGCTGTCTCAGGGATTCCAGCATTATTCACAAGCAAATTGGGTGATGTGAACCTTGAAAGGCTTGTCTGGTTTCGGTAAGGGTGTTTACACAGCAAATAAGTCATTTGGTCCAGTTCTTTTCATTCTAACTTCACTAGAGCTTTGGATTTCTTTGGCTTGTGAGTTTCCCAGGAAAACCACCAGGGGACAGCCATAGATTGGAAATAAAGTTATCAACTGCCAAGATTTACTCATTAATTCCCAGAGCCATTCAACCACTGTACTCTTTAGCTAAGATCTTTTGTGTCTCCCATCATATTGTGTCTGGAGGGACAGCCACTTTGTCTCCTCATGACGGACCCTGGGTATATCACACTTGTAAGAATTCCAAAGGGATTCTGTGGTTTCTGACTTCAGACTGCCAGTAGTTGGATGGATCCTGGCTTCACCAATTAATAGAACTACCAGTGTTAACTTCAAATCCCTTAACCGCTTGATGCTTCAGTCTCTGTTAAATAGGGGTAATAACTGTAGGGCTATGAGGGTTAAATGAGATGATGCATGTAAAACATTTACAGTGACCCCTGGCACATAGCACAGACTCAGTAAATGTTAGCAGTTATTCTAGGAGACAGCCATTGTTTTTCATCTAGAAACATCAGGAAAACCAAATTCAACCTGATGTGTGGCATGTCGCCTCGGAAAAATGAGGCTATCCTCTGCACAGAACCTCTCAAGGTGCCTGGAAAAGCTCGTCCTCGTGTGTCTGCTCTCTCCCTATTCCCAGATGACTGCTCCTGTGGTTGAGCTCCTCTGAGGCTCACAGCTGCCCGCCCTGCACTGCGCTCCTACCTTCATATGGGAAACGACAAGAGGAGCAGTGCTGCTAGCTTGTACCTTTCAGTCGGAGCAGAAGGGTAATAAGACAGCTTATAACTGTTTACCGGCCAATGTGAGGCCATGTGGATCCTGCAGCAGTGAGCTAGTTAGGGCTTCTGTGGGGGGATTAGTCTGAAAGGTCGTCTTCAGCACAAATGGTTCACAGGTGCCCCCTGAATCATTAAAACATTGAGAAGCACTGAAGCTTAGGCTGTGTAAAAAAGTCCTGTTCTTTCCAACGACAGTCTCATACTTCTCTAGTCCACTGAGCAAGCAGCAGAGGCTTAGACACATCCCTCTTGCATGAATTCCAGATTCCAGTCATTTAACAAACACAAAACAAAATATGAGAGGCAGCCCTGCTTACAGAGTAAAGGAACACAGCACCTAGTATCCCCAGTTTGGCAGAGTGCTGGGTGGGAGGCCTGGCATTTAGTCAAATCAGGCTAATAAAAAGCAGAAAGCATGGAGTAATTTCTAATCATTTTCGGTTTGGGAATCTTAGTTGACTTCTTAAAAGAAACAAATTCATCTTAATGATGCTTTGCAAAGGTTGATAAGACAGTCTGTTCTCTGAGAACACCCACAGATGTAGGAAGGGTGGCTTGACACAGGTGAGGTTCGGGCTAAGAGGAGATGATCTGGAAAGAGCCATTCACATCAGATAATCTCAAAAGCACTGATTACTGAAATGACTGGGTTGATAGGAGGATGGTTATGGTACAGGGGAAGAGGGTTATGTGTGAGAAACATCACCACGGTGATGGTCTCCCTAAGTGTTTTCCCAAGGACCCTTTGGGAAGGGCACAGGACAGAAAATAGGGTTTGGGAGATTTAAAGTCCTGGTATACTCTAGGGGTGTGTGTGTGTGTGTGTGTTGGGAATGGGATGGACAGTGTTGTGTGATCTGAGTTTGAAATCTCCACAGATGCTGCCTAAAAGAATCTTTAGACGAGTTGAGTGTTTGGGTGGTTGTGTCTTTTTCTATGAAGAAAATCCCCTGGCCTATCCCTCAAATTCTAAACTGAATTCTATTCATTTACAGCTGTCAGTTGACTAGCAACTAAATGGTCTGGGTGTTGGTTGCCATGGAAACAGTTAAAAGGCCCAGTGCTGTGGGAACCTACCATGCTCTTGAAACCAGGGGTTTGGTTTTCCTAAAAAGTGGAAGGAAGGGTAGAGGGTGGAGCCCAGGAGAGAGGCCGCACAGTTGGCTCCAGGGTCCTGGAAGAGAGTGAGCAATGTGGTGAGCCCCGGTAGCTCCTTAGGACTGCAGCAGAAGAGCAGTAACTTCTTCCACTTTCTGCCGGCCTCCTCCATCTATTCTCTGCTCATTGCCCTATGGTAGTCACAGAGCACAGATGTTTGCTGTCTCAAATGGAGAGCTGGGGCTTGAGATCCTGGGGCAGACCTAGCATGTTGCTGCTACTCCTCATCTGCTTGGGCTCAGAGAGGAGAAGTCTTGGCTCCTCTCTGCACAGCAGATTGTTTTCCACATTTCGTGTGTCTCAGATGAGCAGCCAGCAGGTGAAAGAATCAGCTTAGCTCTGACTGCCAGGGGGTCAGGCTGATAAGGAGCCTGGCAGACAAAACGGATGGCTCCTGGCCTTGAACATGGCAGAGATGCTTGGGGTTCTAGACAAAGAAGCAGAAGGGCAGGCAGGCAACAGTAGTTTCTGTTTTCAGCATTAGAGAAATACATTACTTTGCTCTCAAATCCGCTACCCACCCACATGCCTCTACCACACACAAAAAGGGGTACTGCAGGTAGAGTAAATATTGAAATGCACAACAGTTTTAAGATTCTTTTCTGGTTTTTGCAATCAAGGGAAATAACTTCCATCAGTATTTAGTGGTAAGGTGACCTACTAAAACAAAGAGAAAACAATCTAGTGGCTATTCTATTAACTGCTGTTAATGTGTAATGCACACATTGAAGGGATCGGGCTAGATATATCTGAAGTATCAGTCAGAACTAACAGCTGATGACTCATTGAGATTGTCAAGAAAAGAATGTCCAGTCTAGCCTGGCTGGTGTGGCTCAGTGGTTGAGCGTCGACCCATACACCAAGAGGTCACTGATTCGATTCCCAATCAGGGCACATGCCCAGGTTGTGGCCAAATCCCCAATGGGGGGCATGCAGGAGGCGGCCAATCGATGTTCTCTCTCATCGATGTTTCTCTCTCTCCCCCTCTCCCTTCCTCTCTCTCTAAAATTAATAAAGGTAAAAACATTAAAAAAAAAAAAAAGTTCAGCCTATAGAAAGTTTTGAGTTTTTTAAGCCAAATTTTGAAGACGCCCAGAAGCAAGATGTCAAAGGGTGGAGAAAATGCTCCAAAAATGGCAGTTTTATGGCTTATTGTATACATTACAGCTTACTTTGTATATTTACAGCTTATTTTGTATATTTATTTTATACATTAGAGTCAATGGAGAAAATAAGGAAGGTTACATGAAATCCATTGGTGGTAGGTTAAGAAAGCAGGAGAAAGCAAAGCAGGGAAATCTGTAGAATTGGAAATCTGTAGAAATGGAAAAACACATGCTTCTTTTACATTGGTGGGTACAGGATAGTCAACATTTAACATTTATAGCACACGGAGATGGTATGTGGGGAACAAGATAACAATGAGGGGTTCTGTGGTCTCATGCTTATGCTTTGAGGGGTTTAGAAAAGAAAATGACTCAGACATTTCAAAGGTATGTTATCTTAGATGCATAAGAACAGTGGACAGAGCTCAGTGAAGGTAAAACCTGACCTTCGCTAAGGAAGATATAGGCCTGGGATATGACTACCTGCCATGGTGTTTCCCATTAGGAGTTTATGATCAGACCATCCCACGTGGTTTTTCTGGTGACTGGAATTGTCAGGTCTGTCGGGTTTGCTAATAGTCCCTTTTTAGTTCACAAGACACGGAAGGGAAGTTTGGACACCACAGGCAACAGACACAGACTAATCATACCTGTCAGAATAAGGAAAACCCCTGGAGTCCAGAGGGACTTAGGACTGAGACAAAGGCCAAGACATTCACTTAGACACCATCTCAGATGTGTTTGGCCCAGGGACTTACACCTGATTCTCCAGAATTCTGAAGTCTATGGTCTTGACTTTCTCTCCTAATCTTGCCTTCTCCTGCCTGCAGTTGTTGGTCTTTGCCCCTCCCAGGGAACTTGACCGTATCGGAGCCTGGCACCAGAGAGAGATGCCACCCAGGATCTGTGGGGTGGTTTTCACTGTTGGAGCATAGTAGTTGTTTATAGATTTCTGTAACATTGTAATTTTTCAATATAAGCTGGCTTTGTATCCCACCTCCAACTGTTCCTAGCTGATTAACTTTGGGTAAGTTATTTAACATCTTTTGGTTTTTTCGTGTAAGTCCTTTTAAGATCTACTCTCTTTATTTAACTTCTTAAGGCCTCAATTTTCTCAGCTGTAAAATAGGATAAGAATACCCACCTCAGGGCGGTTTAATGGTGACCTGAGATAGTGTATGCAAAGTGCTCAGTGTAGTGCCTGACTCTAATAAGTACCTGCTTATTTTA